TCCTTTGGCCTACGGAAAACTGCTTCAACAATTGTACAGAAGAGCTAGCAAGGTAAATTGTGTCTCAAGGAATTTTTAGTGACCTAACTTGTGACTCAAGAAACTAAATGGAATTTAATCTTCCTTTATCGTATGCTAGGGGATGCGATAGCGGTTGCCTGAACACGGTGAAGGGAAAGATTGTTGTGTGTGATGTTCCAGATAATACTATGGAACCTAAAGCAGCGGGCGCGGTTGGAGTCATCCTTCATGTAACTGATGTTGATTCTCCTGGTCTTGGTCCGCTTCCGGTCGCAACCTTAGATGATACCAATTATGAAGCATTCAGATCTTACGTTCTCTCTTCACCGTAAGATATTCTTCCATACACAATCTTTGGTTAGATCCGTTGACGATGAATCTGACATTTTTCGATATGAAACAGAAACCCACAAGGAACTATACTGAAGAGTGAGACAGTTAAAGACAACGATGCTCCGATCGTTGCTTCCTTCTCTTCTCGTGGTCCAAACACTCTCTTTAGCGATATCATGAAGGTACCACACGAAACAAGATACACATGACTTAGTGTCATAACATACAATTTGTTGGAATTGGGATCGATCAGTGTCTTGACATTGTAAGGTTTATACATATATGCAGCCTGATATAACAGCTCCAGGAGTGAATATATTAGCAGCATATTCACCTGTGGCTCAAACCGCACTTCCTGGACAAAGCGTGGATTACTATTTCATGACCGGAACATCTATGGCTTGCCCTCATGTCGCAGGTGTAGCGGCTTATGTCAAGACATTCCATCCTGATTGGTCTGTTCCTGCCATCAAATCTGCTATCATGACTACTGGTAATTATCAACATCAAACCAATCTATTCCCATAAGAAATAATTCAAGTGAAGTGATTCATGTATCTCTTTTGTCTTGTTGCAGCTTGGGCAATGAATGCTTCCAAAACCACAGAAGCTGAGTTTGCATATGGATCAGGATACGTTAACCCTACGGTAGCAGTTGATCCAGGGCTTGTTTACGACATAGCCAAAGAGGATTACTTAAACATGCTATGCTCTTTGGACTACTCATCCAAAGGCATTAGTACTCTCGCTGGAGGAGCCTTTACTTGTTCCGAAAAATCAAAGCTTAACATGAGAAACCTCAACTATCCTTCAATGACAGCTAAAGTTTCAGCCTCATCATCTTCAGATATTACATTTTCAAGAACAGTCACCAACGTTGGGACAAAAGGATCCACTTACAAGGCAAAGTTGTCTGGTGATCCTAAACTCAGCATCAAGGTTGAGCCAGAGACCCTCTCTTTCAAGTCGTCAGGGGAGAAGAAGTCTTTCACTGTTACAGTCCCTGGCAAGAGTCTTGCTGGTATATCTGGTATTGTGTCTGCGTCTCTAGTTTGGTCGGATGGATCATACAATGTGAGAAGTCCTATTGTTGTGTATACTTAGGCTGGCATAAACCCAAAACTCGAAAATAAAAGACTAAAAGTATATGATTTATATTCTCTTCTGGATGTTAAAATTCAGGGTTTTTTTCAGTAAATAAGAAGGGATTATAAGTTTGTGTTTACATTAGCTTCTCTATCACCACCACCACTTTCCAAGTTGGACTTGCCTTTTTATCTGCCATTATATATGAAACACACATCTATTCATAAAAATTCATATTTAATCAATGGGTGTTGGCTATGTCGGATAAAAAAATTGGAGTATAAGAGTATATACAGTAAAAACTCTATAAATTAATAATATTAGGACTTTGATATTTTATTAATTTATAAAGTTATTAATTTATAGATTTCAAAGAAAAAATATTTTTTATTTTTTATTAATTTTTTAAAAAATTATATAATTTTTAAAAAGTTCTTTTTAAAATTTAAGATGAGTTTCAAAAAGATTTTAATTTAAAATAAATAAAAAACATCATTATACTCGTATTTTAGTAGATTATCTCATATATATGTTTAAATCAAATTTTATTTATGGTAACTATTAATTTATGATATTAATGGGTCCATATATTTACAAAAAAGTTTTGTTAAAGTTATTATCTTATCGAATTGTGTTATATTTTGAACTGGTTCAATTCGGGACTATAAAAAATTATTAATTATAGTGTTTATTAATTTATCGAGTACTGATTTATAGAGTTTCTACTGTATGTCACCCTAATTTGAAATCTATTTCTATACTTTTTTAGTTGCTTATAAAAAATAAAATAAAAAGACATAACAAACAAAAACTAAAAGCATTTCCCAAGAAAATAAAAGTCTAAAAAACAAAAGTGACTCCTGACATTAAATTATGTATAGTATATTATATATCAATATTTAATACTACTAAAGAAAAAGTGATAATATATCAATGTTTCTTTACCAAAAAAGAAACACTATCAAACATGCAGTGGGTTTGCGACAAAAATCTACCAAAAGGTCTGCTCACCATATTCAATATGAAAATCTATACAACATAAATGCATTGCCAAGATAATTTCTCTATATATAAATTTATAATATCCACAAAAGAAAAAGTTACATATACATGTATATACATATATATAACCATGTTTTAGCAACTTCACCTATAGAGAACTTTTATCAACAACATTAAAACGCCTCAAAAATGTCTTCCCCTAACTTGATCCTCTGTCTTTCCTGGGTTCTTCTCATGAGCCTTTGTCAAATTCCTACAGCTATTGAGGATGATAGAAAGGCAAGTCATCGCTATGTGGTTATTATAATAACTACATATGATCTTCTCATTATATTGGCCTAATTGAATCGTTATAACATTTTTGAGGCAGGTGTATATTGCTTACATGGGAGCTCTTCCTTCAAAACCATCTTACTCGCCTATGTCTCACCATCAGAATATTCTTCAAGAAGTGATCCAATCTAGGTCTAAACAATCTCTCAAAGCATTGTTGCTTGTTGTTAACGTCATCGGTTGTTACTGGTCTTTTTCTTTGTGTTCTGCAGTTCCGCAGAAGATTATTTGGTCAGAAGCTATGGAAGAAGTTTCAATGGTTTTGCAGCTAAACTCACCGAATCTGAAAGAGATAAGCTTATTGGTAAGTTATATGATTCTCTAAAATGATTATAAAATTCGATATGATGTTGCTATATTTTTGTGATATGAAGGCATGGAAGGTGTTGTCTCGGTATTCCCAAGCACCGTTTATAAACTTCTTACTACAAGGTCTTATGAGTTCATGGGACTTGGTGACACAAAAGCAAGCATGTCCCTGAGGTCGAGACCAATATGATAGTTGGTGTAATCGACGGTGGAATCTGGCCTGAATCCAAGAGCTTTTCAGACGATGGCATTGGCCCAATACCAAAAAAATGGAAAGGAACTTGCGCAGGAGGAACTAATTTCACCTGTAACAAGTAAGTAAACAACATATTCTCATTTTCCTCTCCAAGTTTCTTGCGTGACAAGAAAAGGATCAAAACATAGAGATTGTTAACCCTAATCCGAACTCTACAGGAAGGTGATTGGAGCAAGATACTATGTGCAGGACTCGGCTAGGGACAGTGACGCTCACGGATCACACGCTGCTTCAACAGCAGCCGGAAACAAAGTAAAAGGAGTGAGTTGAACGGTGTTGCAAAAGGAACAGCAAGAGGAGGTGTGCCTTTAGGTAGAATTGCTGCATACAAAGTTTGCGAGCCAACAGGTTGCAACGCCGAAGCAATGCTTGCTGCGTTTGATGATGCTATAGCCGATGGTGTTGATGTTATAACCATTTCCATTGGAGGAGGTGTTACTAAAGTCGATATTGACCCTATCGCTATTGGATCATTTCATGCCATGACCAAAGGGATTGTTACCACGGTAGCTGTCGGAAACGACGGATCCGGACTTGGAAAAGCGGGTAACCTTGCACCGTGGCTCATATCCGTGGCTGCGGGTACAACTGATCGTAAATTTGTGACTAATGTTGTTAATGGAGATGGCAAGATGATACATGTAAGAGGCTAAGTTTTCTCTTGTTTTAGTTAATATATGAATGTGATGATGGCCATTTATCATGGTGATTAAGTGATGAACATACAGGGAAGATCAATCAATGACTTTGACTTAAAAGGAAAGAAGTATCCCTTGGCATACGGAAAAACTGCTTCAAACAACTGTACAGAGGAGCTAGCAAGGTAACTTGTAACTCAATGAATCCCAATTTGACGTAGCTTGTGGCTCAAGAAATTAGAGGGAACTAAACAGTATTGAAATCTTTTCTATTTATAGGGGTTGCGATAGCGATTGCCTGAACACGGTAGTGGAGGGAAAGATCGTTGTGTGTGATGTTCCAGATAATGTTACAGAACCTAAAGTAGCGGGTGCGGTTGGAGTAATCCTTCATGTAACTGATGTTGATTCTCCTGGTCTTGGTCCGATTCCGGTGGCAACCTTAGATGATACCAATTATGAAGCATTCAGATCTTACGTTCTCTCCTCACCGTAAGAATGTTTTCAATAAACATTCTTTCATTAGGCTCGTTCAAAGATTTTTAATGTAATTCTTTTGGATATAAAACAGAAACCCACAAGGAACTATACTGAAGAGTGAGACAGTTAAAGACAACGATGCTCCGGTCGTTGCTTCCTTCTCTTCTCGTGGTCCAAACACTCTCTTTAGCGACATTCTGAAGGTACCACACGAAACAGATTCACATGACTTAGTGTCATAACATACAATTTGTTGGAATTGGGATCGATCAGTGTCTTGACATTGTAAGGTTTATACATATATGCAGCCTGATATAACAGCTCCAGGAGTGAATATATTAGCAGCATATTCACCTGTGGCTCAAACCGCACTTCCTGGACAAAGCGTGGATTACTATTTCATGACCGGAACATCTATGGCTTGCCCTCATGTCGCAGGTGTAGCGGCTTATGTCAAGACATTCCATCCTGATTGGTCTGTTCCTGCCATCAAATCTGCTATCATGACTACTGGTAATTATCAACATCAAACCAATCTATTCCCATAAGAAATAATTCAAGTGAAGTGATTCATGTATCTCTTTTGTCTTGTTGCAGCTTGGGCAATGAATGCTTCCAAAACCACAGAAGCTGAGTTTGCATATGGATCAGGATACGTTAACCCTACGGTAGCAGTTGATCCAGGGCTTGTTTACGACATAGCCAAAGAGGATTACTTAAACATGCTCTGCTCTTTGGACTACTCATCCAAAGGCATTAGTACTCTCGCTGGAGGAGCCTTTACTTGTTCCGAAAAATCAAAGCTTAACATGAGAAACCTCAACTATCCTTCAATGACAGCTAAAGTTTCAGCCTCATCATCTTCAGATATTACATTTTCAAGAACAGTCACCAACGTTGGGACAAAAGGATCCACTTACAAGGCAAAGTTGTCTGGTATCCTAAACTCAGCATCAAGGTTGAGCCAGAGACCCTCTCTTTCAAGTCGTCAGGGGAGAAGAAGTCTTTCACTGTTACAGTCCCTGGCAAGAGTCTTGCTGGTATTTCTGGTATTGTGTCTGCGTCTCTAGTTTGGTCGGATGGATCATACAATGTGAGAAGTCCTATTGTTGTGTATACTTAAGCATCAACCCAAAACTCAAGACGATAAAAGTTTGTGATGTTATGGTCTGTGTTCTTTTCTCTTCTCGATATTATAAATTCAGTTTCTTTTAAGTAAGGAGTTCTGTTAACGTTTACATGTCCTTGTGGTGCAAGATCAAATGGTCCAACTTATGAAACTCTAATTATCACCCTTTGCCTGGAAACATCCCCTCCATGTATTCGTCGAAGTTTTCATCATCCTTGCC